CCCACCCCCCCAAGCCGTTCCCCCCCACCTCCAGCCCCAGCAGTACCTGCAGTGCACGATAATAGGGCAGGAGCGACCCCGGTAGCACTTGTTCACCTTCCTGCAAGGACACAGAGGGACGGGGTCAGTGCCCTGCCATACTGGGGGACAAGGCTGTGCTGAGCTGGGGGTGGGACAACGAGCACCCCACGATGTGGCCCTGGGGGTCCAGCACATGGCTTCCCAGCAGTGCTAGGCATGGGACAGGGACCAGGGGTGGAAAGGGGCCGGGAGAGGAGCCCGGCTCCCCGGGTGCCCAGCCTAAGGAGGGGAGCAGCGGCAGGACCCCCGAGGGAGCAGGTCTGGTCCAGTGGGGGGCGAAGCTGGGGGCCAGGTGCCGGCGGGGCTCCCGGCATGCTCCATGCAGCAGGCACGGCTGCCAACGATCACTTTTGTGACTATGCAACTGGAGCCAGATTACTAGCTGCAAATCACAAAAATGACGCCGGCAGCTGCGAGAGAGAGACAGAGACAGACAGAGAGACAGAGAGAGCGTGAGCGGGACGGAGAGGAGGGCGACGTGCCTAAGCAGGGTCCCTGGCCCCACATGGCCTGGGGACAGGGACCAGCCAGCCCCTGGCAGGAGCCCACCGCCACCCAGGGACCCCCCCAAAGCCCAGCAGGTACTGCCTTCAAACCTCCTGGGAGCAGTCCCAGCTACCCAAGCCCCCTCCCCAGGCTATCTGGGGACCCACCACTGGCTGCAGGGCACGGACAGTAACGGGCCACCACCGTTCAAGGCTGGCTGCAGGGTTTCTTCTTGCCCCCATGGCTGGAGAGGGTGCCAGGCAATGCCATCCCCCATCCCAGCTCCTTGGAAAAGCACTTTCCCACCCTCCCCAAACAGCCTGGAAGGTCCTGGCCACCTCAGCTGGAGGCTTCTTGCCCATCAAGTTCTGCCCAGCCTCATCCCAAGCTGGCCAGAGCCTGGTTCTTCTGCTCCTCCCCACGCACAGCAACCCCACCTCTTCCCCCAGCCAGTCCATGCCATAGCCCTGACCCTCATCACACCAGCACCAATGTCCTCGCCCATCAGTCCCCTGTGGCCAAGGCCACCGCTGGCTCCCGGGGGGCTGGCATAACCCTGGGTGGGCACTCACCTGCGGAAGTCGAGGAGGGGCCGGGTGGTGGCCGGGATACCCTCGGCCGGCCAGCTGAGGAAGTGGAACTGCGTCAGGGTGCGGGTCTCCTGCGACTGCACGTTCTTCAGGTAGAAGCTGCGCACCAGGAAGTCCTCGCACCAGATGTGCTCCGACACCAGGTTCACCTGCCCGAGAGAGGCAGCCGGTGGGCAAGAAGTACCCCACCACCCCGCCATGGTACAGGGGCTGGAGGATGCTCCTTGCCCTGGGCTACCAGCCACACTTGCCTCATAGATGTGGTAGAGAGAGGAGCCTTCATCCGGCCAGTAGCGGTCACACTGCTTGACGCTGTCCTCGGCCAGTGGGCTCAGCATGACAATGACAGTGCAGCCGTGCTCCCACACCATCTGCGGGCAAGGTGTGGTGGGTGTCACTCCTGGGTGACAGCCCAGGTGAGCAGCACCAGAGGGACCCTGACATGCTGGCACAGCCGGGTGACACTCACCTGCCAGAAGTCAGCGATGGTGTGGGACAGTGGCCCCTGGGTGGCAATGTACGCTGGCATCCGTGGGTCGTGCTCGATCTGGAGTGGGAAAGGGGATGTCGGACTGTGTGGTCTCAATCCAGGGGTCAGTGACACCAGGAGGAGCTGGGGAATACTCCAGGGGTGATGGGAGGGCTGGGGAGGGAGCTTTGAGTGCTCCACAGCCACGTGGATTTTAACCACGTCTGAGCAATGGGGGCAAGCACATTGCTCACGGCTGTAGCCCACAGGGATGTGAGCTCAGTCTGGCTCCATCTCAGGGCGGGAGCCCCATCATGGAGCGGGGTGGCAGGGCACGAGCCCCCCGGTGATCACTCACGATTGGACTGGCATTGATGAAGTCGCTGCGGGACGGGTTGCTCTCGGCTTTCAGCTTGATCCGTACGTGGTCATCTGGGGAAACAGAGACCAGGGGAGATGGTGAGCACCCGGGGAAGCTGGAGGCAAAGCTGTGCCACAGCCTGCCTTGGCCCCAAGCACCCCCGTGCCCCAGGGGCTGGGATGCTCACAGGGCACGTAGTCAGGGTTGCGGTTCTTCTTCAGGTTGGCTTCGCTCTGGGCAACAGAGCAGACGCTGGGCTCAGCCTGGTAGGCGCAGAGAGCCTGCCACTCCTTGGCCAGCCGGTCCCGGTTGCGGAGATGGTCCTCCATGTAGGCCTGGGGCAGAGAGGCGAGGGTCAGCCTGGTGGCTGTGGGGGTACACAGGGGGGTGGGAAGGGGGGCTACTACCCCACCAGGCCAGCTCACCAGGATCATGTGGCCGGTGGAGATGTCCATGTTGGACTGGACAGGCTCCTCACACCAGGAGGGTGTGCTGCTGTGGGAGCTGGGGCTGGGCTGTGGGGCGTCGCTGAACTGGGACGAGACGCTGCTGACTCGTGAGGTCTCCGCCGGTGCTGCCGGTGCCTCAGAGCGGCCGAAGAGCGACTTGGCAGCCATGTGCTGGCGGCACAGCTCCTGGGGGACCCCAGCAAGAGCCCTGTCCCACGGCTGCAGCACTGCCAGGGGCAGCCCCGAGCATCCCGAGCGATGCTGAGGTGGTGGTGCCACATCCCCTGGGGTCTTGCATCCCGCAGGGTTCCTACCTGGTACTCGAAGGTGGTGTCGGCAGCACCCTCGGGGCCCAGGGCAGCCAGGCGCTCCTTCTCCCGCTGCTTGGCATGGCGCCGGAGGCAGAAGGCCGCGGCAGCCGCGATGGCGATGCCCGCCACGCAGGCCAGCGCGATGAAGGTCAGCAGCACCGAGTGGAAGCCATCCCCAAAGCGGGATGGGCGTGAGTAGGCAGCAGCCTCGTTTCGCTGGGGGCAAAGCCAAGCAAGGGTTAGTGGTGGGCATCTGCATCGTGCTGGGGGGGGAACAGA